CCCCCCCCCCCACCCCATGTTTGTTTTTTCCTTGTTTGTTTTGAAGTGTGAGTCAAGGTTGTACCTATTTTTCCGTATGTAACCAGTCACAGGAGAAATGTACCAGAAGCAGAGCAAAAAACCAGAGACAATGACCACAAAAAGCGCGTGTTGTTTGCTGTCTGCTAACCTGTATCCCAAGTGCCAGGTGTGGACACACCTCCTGAAACTCTATTAGGATATGATCTAAACCAAAGCCACTCAATAGTAAACAAATGTTCTATTCGCTCCAGCACTTTGAATTGCACAATAGAACAAGCTTCGTGCCCCTCAAATATTTGGATATTCCCATGGCAAGGTTTCCTCTCTGGGAGTTTTTTTCCTTGTTCATTAAATTCAGGTAAGAGAAAGTGTCCTCCTTCATGAGGTCCTGTCCTTAGCTGTAGAAGTTAATAGATGCCATTAAAATTTGCCTCTCTCTGTTTTCCTTGTGTAAACCATTTACGTCAGAATGCTAAGTTGTGAAACTGGAGTTAGGACTTCACGTTCATGTGCATTTAAAAAGAACAAAGGTGGCATTCATTCAAGCTGTTCATGTTGTTTACTTTCTTCTTTATTAATCTCTCATTTTGAGGCTTTATCCCACATTTCATACTTCTCTCTGGCTGCAGGTTGCTTGGCATATATACAGCAATTTTGACCGTTTAAAAAACCAAATCCCCCGCCCCCATTTTTATGACAAGTTGCACCAAGATAAAAAAGTTCATTTTGGCTGAAAGGGGATTAAGGCTGAAAAATCACCAGCAGGGAGCGGATGAATTAAATATATACACAAGTACAGTGGGATTCACTGAACAGCCCTTCTTCTGAAGCCTATGAGCAGTATAAAACCAAAGCAGACTCCCATCTTTTCAGTGCTATACTATTGCTGCAGCCCTTGCTAACCAGACATGTCCCTTTTCCTGCTTCAAATACCTCCTCGGTGCCCTAAAACTGGGAGGCTGAAAGAGCGTCACTGGGCATTAGTAATGGTTTCAGGATCAAGCCCTAGTAAGAAGGTTAATTTTAAAAGCCCCATTATGTCTGCTCCTGGGTTCATGGAGAGGGAAGAGGAAAGGCAGGGGGGCTGCTGCTGCCCGCTGTTCTCCTGTGTGGCACAGGGGTGTCCCACAGCCCTCTCTGGAGGAGACAAATGGGGAGGTGAAAACAGACTCTGCTTCTCTCCTGGGTGAGGCAGCTGTACTGCTTCTACAGGCCTTTCTCATCACTGCAATGCCCTAAACTCTTCGTCTTATCTGTGTGTCGTGGTGTCACTCTAAATCCTCTTCTAGCAAAGGATCTTAGGACTAAGCTCTCATGCCCCAATAGCATCTCACAAGCAGCATCAAGGTGACGTGCAAAGGCTGAATGTTCGTTAGGTGAAAATGGCAGCAGCCAAGAAATGTCTGGTTTTTAATTATCTTTCCGTGGCATATCCACGACACTCTTCATATCACTGAGCTAGAAGCTCTGTATGACTGTGAGATGCTTATTGCCACTGCATTCAACTAGCAGACGAGCCGGGGGATATTCTCAAAAAATTCTACTTTCAGCAGTGCCTTAAGGTCCATTTTCACAGCACCATTCACACTACATCATAGAGAAAAGACATTTAAAAGGTAGATGTTCCTATGGTAAATGTTCCTCTTTGGAAGTTTTTTCTCTTTGTTCATTAAAGGGAAGTAAGAGGAAAGCCTTTCATATTTGGAAAAATAAACCACAGCCTGTGAGTTAGACTGCAGGAAATAAGGAGAGAGATAAAATGAAACAGCACAAAGAAGGATTGATCTTTACTTTTGAAAGGCCAGATTTTTTCTCATTTTACACAGTTGCATGAATTTCAAGTTACTGGACTTATACTGAGTAAAGCATAGTAAATTTAATGTATAAATAATGTATATATAAATATATATATATTTAATCTTCATTGCACCAGCTGTTGGGATTTTTTTGTTGTTTTTAAGTTCATAGCTATCCTATGGGTTAAACCTATGAAAGTACATGGAACAGATGCAGAATCTTAAATGGAGAAAAGCTATACAATCCCACTTAGTGAAAACAAATGGGGTAAAAATTAAATAATCCAATTTATTATTATGTTACGCCATAGTGTGTTTTCAGTACCCTCTCATTCAGTTGCTTATGAATTCATTATTTTGATGCAATTCTCTGTAAGAGGTACATGTGAAAGGGACTGTTTACAGAAAGCCAGGGTCAAGTACAAATTGTAGGAGAGGTGAGGGAGTTTGAATGTAAGATTGCAGCTTGGTTTTGTCTAATTTTCTTGCAAATGAATTTCCAGCTTTCCCATACATAGTCAAATGAAATTTAAATACACCTCTGTTATGTATTGTTTTCCATCTCTAGCTTGTATGAGAAAATTCCTATCATGCTTTACATTTGTATGGCATACCTTAAGCTTGCTATGAAAGGGGTGTATACCAGAGCGATGCAAACATATTTATTTCAAGCTGTATGGCCTTGTGGTTTGAGCACGACTTGGACAATAGATTTAGTGTCATGCCTACCGCAGACATGCTGTATGACACTGAACTAACCTTTTGACTTTTCCAGGCATCTTTTTCTCCATTTGTAAAATGGAGTCTTTGATATCTTCATTCTATCATGTTTATTAAGGGGTCTGAAGACTGTCAAATAGGAGACCTTAAGAAAGCATATAACAATAGCATGAACATACTATTGTTTCTCATGGACCTCTTGCCATCCCAGCTTGTCCAATTGGATCAGTGGGGAGTTGTCAGCGTTTCATAGGCAAGGACTTAGGACCTTGGATGATCGTTCTAGATTTGCTTTGGATTTAATGCATGTTGTTAGGACCGTGAATTTCCCAACCTGAGGTGAACAGTAGGATATGGAAGTATTCAGAGCAAAGCAGTGAAATAAGTGCAATGAAGTAGCTCTTGTATAAATGTAGTACAGGTAAAGCCATATGTTTAAGTGTTCATCTTGGGTGCCAGATGCAGACAGTCTGAGGTCTGTGTAGCTTTTGTGGTGGAAAAAGTTGCAATGAAGAACAACTGCAAGTTTCAGGCCTAGGAGTAAACTCTTGTATAATGTGAACCAGGAACATTGGTATAAGAATCAAGCCAGAAAAATGCCATAACATTCATTGATCTGATAACTAATAAACTCAATGTGGAAATGCCAGAAGATGGAAAGCTTTGATTGTTAAGCTCTTTCCTCTGTGTTACAGATAAATAAACTATTACGTAAACTTTTCCCATGGCTTGTGCTATGACCTTGACTAGATGTAGGTTTCTCCCCTTTTTGGAGAGGGCATTTGGACATGATGGATGTGATAATGTCATTTACAGTATCATGTTCAGTGGGTGTGCAAACTATGCTGTGACTTACCCAGGCAGAAGGCAGACAACTGCAGTTAGACTAGTAATAGGCAGAGTGTTGTCTAAGGACTCAAGAAACCTCTTTGATGAAAGAAACCTTTACCTTACTTTTTCTTTTTGTCCTTTACATGTCTTGTTTTGACCTTTTGGAAGTAGCAGGCACCTTTCCTGGGGAGATTTTCCCTTTCTTACACTTCTGTGCCACAGAAGTTACACAGACCAGTCCAAGGACCTTATCTGCTGGAGTGATGTGGGCTGGTGTAAGATGAGCCCCGCCAGGCTTCAGGCTCTCCCAGTCCCCCTGTGCATGCACACCAGGGGGAGAGGAAGCAGCTCCAAGAGTAGCTTGCGACAGCCTTCCAGCACCCCTCGCCCCTCCCAGCTAAAACCCTAGCCCAGCAGCCCTTGCATGTTTTAGGATACAAAAGGAGAATTAACAGGAAATCACAGGAGAACTCTCAAAAGGGACAGTGGTTTCTGTAGTTAAATTCAGTGGCTAATTTGATCTAGTGCTGCAGGCTCCAGATTGCTTGCATGAGAAAGGGTATCACTTCCACCTTTCTTCTGATCTGTTTTGATGACTCTAGGCAGGCAGCAATAGAGCAGCTGGGTAAGAGAAAAGTTATCACCTAGTGAGTTGGGAGCAGGCCAGCTTTCTGACTGTCTCTGAAAAATTGAGAGGTCAAGGAAGACATGTGATAATATCACATTTAGTTTGTGACAAGTCTCTGTGCTCTGTGATACATGCATGGTGGACAGTTGTACATTTCAGAGATAAAAATATCTTCCATGAAGAAATCAAGCCGGCCAGATTTTCACAGTCAAGCTGCTAATCTTGCATGTAAAATAGATGTGGATGTATAGGTTCAGATTCTTGACTCAACAATTCAGGAAGAAAAACTGGAAAGAAAAAAAGGATCGAGTGTTTCAGTTTTCCAGATTTGTAAACTGCTCAAACAATCCCTTAGCAACCTTGAGATCCAGAGCCAGAAAAATAATCAATAGGCATCAGTGATCACTCTTCTTTCATATCAACCAGCAGACTGAGTAGCTTTCAGGGGTTTGATAAGAACCCGTTGATAGATTTTTACAAATCAGAATGCAAGAGAAAAAATGAGACCTTCCCTACTTTAAGTTATGTCACCGGTCTTTGAGTATAGGTAAGTGGCACAGTCAGTCATCTGCTTGCGTTTCTCTGGAACTGTTTCTTTATTTTTATCTTAGTTTGATTCAGTTTTTAATTTTCCTTGATGTAGAATGGAGGAACTTGGTATTTCTCAGCAAGAAGTTGTTAAGTAGACAAAACTAAATAGTAGACCTCAGTGGCGAAGCTAACAGGTGCTGTGCATACTTTCTAACTTTTATTCATATGTATGTTTCAAAAACTCTTTGAGGTCCTTTAGGAGCCCAAAGCATTTTCTGCATTACAGAATCAATTCTAACATGTGCTGCTTTAATACTCCTCCACAATGAAAACTTCAACACAGCACACAAAATACTGGAAGGTATTATGGACCTGTGACATTGTTTATTGTATTGTTTTATATAATTTGAATTATCCTATTTGTCCTGGTTTGTTAGAGATGACAGACATCCGTATTGATATACTTTAAAAATATCAATGTGTATTTTTGTGCCTACTTTCTTCATTTAACCTCGTCTAAAAACTTCTAACATTTTCACTATTAATATAACTATTTTGGGGGGGTTAGGCACTCTGATATTCTTCCTGACCCTCTAGTGACAGTAACTCTTAAGGCTGCTAAAACTTGTCTACTATAATTTTATGCTTAATTGCTTATAGATCTCACTTTTGAGGGAAAAAAACTTCCCTAGATTTAATGTTCAGCCAGACATATATATAAAAATATATTTTAGCAAGAATCCACAAAATCAATGGAGCTGGAATATTTTTTGCTTGAGTGTGAAGATCACCTGTACTTTAACCTTCATCATAATTCATATAACCCCTATTCAGGACTCTAAAGAGTGAAAAATGTAAATGTACCACTAATTTAACTTCTCACTGAGTATGTGCGCTGAGGAGCAGCATTATGAAGGAGGCTAGCGTACCTCCTGGCAAGCTGTGATGACATGTTTGTTTTGGTTTTGCATGCTTGCATTTGATAGATCTCTTGGGATTTTTATTGCTTATGTTTTATAAAAAGTGCACATGCAGAGCATGTGTGTTGCTTCATTTATGTTGGACAATTCATGTGGTTATGATTCAAAGAGAAAAGCATAACATTACATCAATAATGTTGTAAGTCACAACCAAACTGAAACATAAATTTTCCTTAATTCTGGGGTGTTTAATTTCTTTTGTCATAGAGATATGGCCCAGGGTTGGGTTAATATTAACTCAGAAGCTTGGGTTAATATTGTGAATCTGATTTTATAGCAGATATTTGAACTCCCTGGAGAGTTTGTGTGAGGAAGGAATTTGCAGACAGAAATGCTGAGATACTTTTTTTTGTTATTTTTTCTCCTGTGGAAATTTGATCATTTTGAAGTAAACTCAGATCAGAATTACTGTGGCTGAACCATCAAACTGTTGCAATGTGGGATGCTGTTGTCTTACTGAAGTAGCTGTAATTTGGGTACCCAAAATGTTTCCCGTTCTTCTTTATAGGCTGGGTTAGAGGTCAAATTATGTCTTATGATGAGAAGAATGGAGCATGCTGTGGTTACTGGTCATTACACAGAGAAAAATATATGGACCTGAGGTAACTAGACACCTTCATATCAGCATATCTGAAAAGAAATATTTTAGCCAGGGGGTACGTAGCCCTCCTCTGAACTTTCTCTTCCTGGATTTTCTTCAAACCCTGAATTTTAACTGAGCCCTAAAACAGGATCAAATAGGCACACGATTGTGAGGAGTGGTCAGTCCCACCTAATCAATTCCGTTCCATTTTTAGGAGGTGATTATGGCAAGCCTTGTGCACACCTAATTTTGTTTAGTCCTAGAGCCAAGTCTTTCCATCTCATACACGTCTGCACAACTGAGAGAAGGAAATCATCACTTTTTCTATAGAAGTGACAGCAAAAAACTAATATGGTAGAGCAGTGGGCTGAGGCCTTAAAAAAATTAATATAAACTGTATGTCTCTGTCAGTATGTGAGAAGTGGCAGCTGACAAAAGGAATGAAACATAAGGAGATTAAAGGGGCAGGCAAGCGAGAGACAAAAAGACATGTACTGACCTTGTTTACCTTGGGAAAGCTTATTAATAAAGAGGAAAAGCATGGTTCAGAATTCAACCTGAAGATGAACTTTCTTTTAGGTGGTGCTTATAAACAGTCTGGAGGATTACCTTACACAATATTATTCTGAAAAGTTATTATTTCCAGTAGAAGCAAGTGGGTCTAGGCTGTGACAGGTCGGTCCAGTGACTGTATAGAGCACGTGCAAATCACAGAATCACAGAATCGTTTAGGTTGGAAGGGACCTCTGGAGATCATCTAGTCCAACCTCCCTGCTCAAGCAGGGTCCTCTAGAGCATATTGCCCAGGATCACATCCAGACGGGTTTTGAATATCTCCAGGGAAGGAGACTCCACTACCTCTCTGGGCAACCTGTTCCAATGCTCTGTCACCCTCACAGTGAAGAAGTTTTT